AAAGTTTGACCGAGCGGTCGGCTAGTTGAACTATTTTTCTTGTGGGAATCATTTTAATATTGATATTTTATGCAACGGAGGGGGGAATTAAGCTAACACTCGCTCCTAAATAACTCAAGGCACCTCTAGGTTCCATGTTACCGATCTTAACCGGTAAAGTAAAGCTTCTCAGGTCCTTTTTCTTTTGCATCTTGTGTTGAAAGAGTTCACTAAGATGATGAGGGAGGGTAATGAGCTCGTCATTGAGATTCCTCTTGTTGGTTAAGATCTCCTTGAAAATTTTGGAGTTGTAGGAAGGCATTTGGATAACAACATCGTTGAGAGGGACACTGATGTGTCAGTTCTTCATTACACAAAGGAATTTTTCAAATTTATCTTTCAACTTTCTCTCCACAAGCCTCCTGAGAAAAGGAACCGGCTCATCTAGATTCCTAGTCTCACTAGGACTTGAGGTTGTTTTCTCATCATTGTGCTTCTTTTTCCCTAAATTCTCTTCTTTCCTAACGCCTTTGTCTTCTTCAAGTCTCTTCTCCACCCTCACACTTTCTTCTTTCCACTCTTTCGACTCTTCATAAGATGTGCCCAATCTCAATGTAATTGCCTTGCAAGAATCGCGTTTCATGTTGTGAAGAGGTTATTAGGTTGTGGTTGCCCGAGTAAGGTAAAAGGTGAGTTAAAAGGTATTCTCTCGTCCAATTAGGCTTATTGTGAATCAACCATCTTGTTATGAGCTTTGACCTCTTGCATTTGTTTATTCATGGCTTGGAGTTGTTGAAGAATTTTTGGTTTGTGTGGAATCAGATTATGATGCTTGATCTTGACTCCTTTGAGACCCTTGATTTTGATTGTTGTATTGGTTTTGATTGTTGTATTGGTTGTTTCTTGGGTAATTACCCCTTGGGTTTTTGTTTTGAGGTGGAGGTGGGTTTTGATATTGAGGGTTGGAATTGTATGATGGTTGAGCTTGTTGCCCCATTGTTGAGGTTAAGGTGCAAATCTAGGTGGTGGTTGTCTCCAAGCTACTCCTCCACCACACTAGGTGAAAAAACGAAATTGGCATCGGTTCAAAACCCCTCAATGCCACCGGTTTGGAACCGCTGCCAATGTGGGGGGTGCCAATTACTAGCATGAAAAGGCACCAGTTCAAACCGGTGGCAAAAATGGTTATTGGCACCGGTTAACCGTTGGCAAAATTGTTTATTGGCACTGGTTAACCGGTGCCAAAAGCGCCTAAAATATTTTTTTTTGTCTTTTTTCACTTAACAATTAAATCAACTAAAATAAATAAGAACATCACAATATAAATCGAATTTAAATCAATATAATCTAAAGTTTACAATATATAATAAAAAAAATGCAACATATAAATAAACAAATAAAATTACAATATATTCATAAATAAAAAAAATTACAATATATTCATAAATAAAAAAAATTACAATATAAATAAAGAAAAAAAAAATTAAACCCCATACACATCGAAATCATTATTCTTGCATCTTGATTCTTCAATTTAAGATATAAATCAATGTACCTGCACCAATTAAAAAAAAAAACCAGAAATTCAAACCTAAAAAAAAAGGCAGAAATTCAAACCTGGAGAAAAAAAAACAGAAATTCAAATCTATTAAAATCGGAAAAAAAAACCCAAAAATCGAAAAACAAAATCATAATTGAAATAGAAACAAAAACCCAGAATTCGAAAAACCAAAAAATCAAATTCGAAATAAAAAAAAATCAAAATCGAAAAAAAAAATTGAATTAGAAAAAGAAACCAAGAAATTGAAAAAAATCAAAATCGATAAAAAAAACTAATTAAAATCGAATTGAAATGGGAAAAAAAAAACAAAAATCGAAAAAAAAATCATAATCGAAAAAAAATTGAAATCGAGAAAAAAAATCAGAACTAGAAAAAACCAGAAATGGAAATCAAATTCAAGATCTCGGGAAAAATAAAAAAAATTAAAATCGAATTAAAATCAATTAAAATAAAAAAAAAATCTAATAAAAATCGATTAAAATAAAAAAAATCAAATTTAAATCGAATAAAATAAAAAAAACCGAATTAAAATCGATTAAAAACTCGTAAAATGGTGTTGCATGTCTTTGTGGTGTTCTTCGTGGTGGAAATCGAATTCAAGAGCTCGTGGTAGAAGGAGATGAGAAAGATGGGGTGAGCGTTGAGCAAGAGAAGGAAAGAGGAGGAGATCGAGGAGAGATAAAGAGAAAGAAAGAGGAGGATAGAGGCGCGGCTGAGAGGAGTGAGATCTTAGGGTTTGGAGGGATTTAAGGGGTGGGGTTTTTTTTTTAATAATAAATTGCACCGGTTCACTTTGAACAGGTGGGCTTTGTGTTTTAGCCACCGGTTTGTAGTGAACCGATGCCATATATATTGGTTCATTAGGCCGCCAATTTTTTAGCCCATTTTTTCCACCGATTTGGACTGAATCGGTGGCAATTAGGGGGTTCCTTTTTGATTTTTTCTACTAGTGCCACTTCCCCTAAATCCATCTTGCCTTGTGTTGTAAGCCGCAACATGTTTGGGGCTCAAGCCTCCACAATAAGATGTATCATGATTTGTACCACCACAATTTTGACATGAGAAAGAATTGACTTGAGAAGAGCTTTCCTCACCATTAACACTTGCATTCAACTTTGCAAGCCCCTTGGTCAAAACCTCATTTTGATGTTGTAATTGATCACCCTTCTCTAACTCATACATCCTTCCTTTCTTCGGTGAATTTATCCTTCTACCACCCTAAGAATAGTTCTTCTCTTCTTCTTCGATTGTTGCCTCAACTTGATTTTGGAGGATCTTGATCAATTTTCCACCCGCCCCAACATCCAAGTTAGCTCTAGACATTGGTTCCAATCCATCATAGAAGAATCGCATGAGCAAGCTTTTATTGTATTCATGATCAGTACATGCTTATACCAACTCCTTGAACCTTTCCCAAGCTTCACTAAGACTCTCATCTGTTTTTGGTTCAAATGATGCAATCTTCCTCCTCATGTCAATGGTCTTTTCCTCGGAATAATCTCTTCAAGACTAATGCCTTGACTATCTCTCTCAATGTTGTGAGAGAATTTGGCCTCACTTGCTTGAGCCACTTCTTAGCTCTACCCGAAAGAGATTGTGAAAATAGATGCATTCGGATGTACTCTTGCAAAACTTGATTGGTTTGAATCATGGCACATAGCTCAGGGAATCTATTAAGGTGCCCAATGGGATCTTCACTTGGAGAACCCAAAAATTGCTCCCCTTCTACCATCCTTGTGTATTGGGGATGAATGGTAAAGTTGGTTTTCGTGACGGGAAGCAAAATCCCTCTCGTGAGCTCGTAATCCTCCAAATTCCTAAACTCAAGAAAAAAACACTTCATCCTCTTCTTGCGCCATTGTCTCACTTTGAGCACTTGAAGAACAAGAGTCACTCCCATTATCCACATTAAAAAAAAGATCTTTTCCCTCTTCTTGATAAAGCATACGGACTTGTCTCAAAGTTTGATCGATCTCGTGGTCAATATTATGTGTGGGCGGACCTTGAGATCTCCTAAGCATCCACCAAAGCTAAGCAAAAAATTAGCAATGACAAGTAGGATAGAGCAAGCAAAAAAAAAAGTAAAGCAAATAAAATGACTCTAACAATAGAAAAAATACATGCAAAACAAGCCGACTCCCCAGCAACGGCGCCAAAATTTGATCGGGGTAAAGTAGGTTTTTGAATCTACTAACCTAATCAAATTGAATATTTATTAACCTAGACCTTCACTAAACTAGTTAGTGGTAAGTATACGGTTAAACCACGAGGAAGCACACAAGTTAAACATCAAATCCACTAATGCAATAGTAGATTGGAGAATATTTTTGTTGGTTTTCTTTTATTAAGTAAACTAAAGCAATAAAGAAAGAAAGGTAAAAAGGATAAAACAAAAGATAAACAATGCTAGGGATACGGAGGTGTCAAACATGATCAAACGAATATGGACAATGATGATTATCATGAAGAACATGTCATAGAATGCTAAGTTGTACTTAAACAACTCACACTAGTGGAAAAATAGCTATTCGAAACGGTAAAAAACAGCCTATCCGTAACGGGCAGCAGGCGTTACGTATGTTGCCGTTACAGATAGGATATGTTATTTGTAATGGGTGTTGTCCGTTACATAAAACGGGTTATTCGTAACGGGCAGTATTACTGCCCGTTACGAATAACCCGTTATTGGTAACGGACAGTTTGACCGCCCGTTACGAATAACCGGTTATATGTAACGGACAGTTTGACCGCCGGTTACGAATAACTTGTTATCTATAACGGACAGTTTGACTGCCTGTTACGAATAACCCGTTATCTGTAACGGAAAGTTTGACTACGCTTTACGAATAACCCGTTATTTGTAACGGACAGTTTTACCGCCCGTTACAAATAACCCGTTATTTGTAACGAAGAGTTTGACTGCCCGTTACGAATAACCTGTTATTAGTAACGGACAGCTTGACTGCCCGTTATGAATAACACTTTATTTGTAAAGGGCATTTAAACCGCCCGTTACGAATACAATTGAACCCAAATAAAAAAAAAAATATGCAGCGTGTTATACTTGCTAGTCTGCTATGATGCCAAAGTTTAATTACTATTATAATTATTCAATACTAAAAAATGTAAAATTGAATTATTAAAACTTTCACAAATGTCCAAATTGACTTAACAATAACTCCCTAACATGAGTCAAAAGCTACTATATAAATAAACTTTGTAATACAACATGAAAATTTAAACAAGTTTCTATTACGTAGTAGATTAAGAATATGAAAGATCTTATAGATCCTCATACAGCTCTGGTGCCATGTTTTTGAAAGGGATTGTGTCTGAATCAAGAAATCATTATCAGAGTCAGACACCTTTTGAAGCAGGAACACAGTATATGATCACGAAAATTAATACAATGGGGAATTGGGGACATTCAACAGAGCTCAAGTTTGACTATTATTTAAACTTACGGCATAACCATAGCTACAATTAAGGAAATGGCAAGGCCAGTTGCACCATCTCCTTTGAGTTGAGGCACAAAAAGCCCATGCAATACGTTTGTATATCCAAGCTCCACAAGAAAGCATGCAGCAATAGTAAGAACCAAAAAAGTAATCAAGAACTCAAGCTTGCGCACCCAAAAATAAGAAAGATTAGAACAATTCAGATTATATAAGCAAGAATTGCAATATGCTCATTGCTCCATAGCAACGAATACGGAGGATCTATTTACACACCCCATATTGTTGTAGTACAAATAGAACCAGAGTGCTAAGACCAGCCCAAACAGTAATTTTGAAAAGCATATTCAATGCAAATGCATTTCCAATAACTAGAAGCAAAAAAGAAAATTATGTTAAGAGGTAGCAAAAAAAACAATGTAATCAAAACAAGTACCAGCTAGGCAAGATACTAAATATTTACACACATCTCGAGTCATTAGTTAGGTAGTCTGCTGTAAAACATGTTAGTTAGCTTATCAGATATTCATATTAAAGTAAAATGAGATTCAAACCTTCAGGAATATCGCAAGCTACTATTGCGATTTCAGCCAAAATCCATAAAATAAAATTTGGAACTTTTGTGTACTCAAATCTACAATGTTCTGCCAAATTCTTCCCTGAAAGTCAGGAGCTAATTGTTATGTAACGAGCATGGAGAGCCATAATAGATGCATAGTCGTATAAGAGGACATACCTTTAACAACACCAAGATTAGCTGCCATAAACTGAATGATGAGGGCAGCGCAAGATGCCACCAATATGATCCAAAGTAGCTAAAGCCATGTAAAGTTTAGATGGATAACATTAGAAGGGACGCGACAAAAAAAAAAAAAAGGCTTTTAAGTTAAACATGTAAAGATAACAATACACACCTCGTACTTGTATTGAGCTCCGGGCTGGAGATCAGTTTCAATTGTAAGTAATTGAGGAGGTTAGAACAGTATGTAGAAGTTTAGGAAGGAAAAAAAAAAAAAGAGTAGGTTTACTGAAGCCTTACAATTTGCAGGATCAATGTAAGCAATAGAGACTAAGAAGTTATTCCAGCTCTTCTTCTGTGCAAAGCATAGGTGAACTTAGAGTGACAGATATAAAGCAATGTAATTTTACAATTTTACTTCAATTTCATGTACTATTTCATTCTTCTTCCTTAGTAATTATTGACAATCTTCATCTCAACATCAGACTGACGAGGGAAAAACTAGGTCGTTGAAACTAATCCTCCCTTGATCAAACTAAATTTATAAACACTTAGCAAACCTATATACAAGTATAGAGACAAGTCAAGGATAGAACTCAAAGGAACGGTAATGTTCAAACGCTCTCAATTATGTGCGTAAGCTAGGTCGAAGACAAAGATAAAGAGAGAACAATACAACTAACAAACAAAGAAACCAAACAAATAAAGTATTAAGAACGGGACCAACAAGCAATCATGACAATTGTAGCAACTAAAAAATACATGCAATTCAATGGTTGTGAAGACTAATGGCTAGCTCAATCAAGAGAGTCAACAAGCTATATCCGAGAGGTTAAACTAGCGCCAACTACGAGAGACTCTAACTAGGAACATCACTAATCAAGCTCAATCAACAATTGCAATTCCTAAATCTATGGTCCGGATCATCAAAAACTACAATGCAATCTAGCATAACTCTCAAGGCCTAATCGAATTACACAGATGCAAACTTCAATTAATCACTTTAATCTAAACAATTAATCAACACAATCCCCAAATTAAGCACAATCAATTAATCATACAAGTGTCACCCAATTCCTAAGAAACAACTACTCAAACATCATCATCTAATCAACTAACAATTAAAGAAATCAAGAATCAACAATATATGAAAAACTACACTAATCAACAATCAAACATCAAAATCAAACCAACAAATATGAAATCAAACAAAGCAATAAAATGAGATAGAGTTAAAAATGCTCATTTATAATAGAGAATATCTTTAATACAATTGTCACTAGCTCTGTCAAAACGGTTTGACAGTTAGGGTTTGGTTCGATTTGAAATCGGTTCGGTATTAAATCGGGTCAGTTTGAAATCGGTTTAAATGTATCGCGGGTCGGTTTCTGTTCGGTTTAAATAGTTATCGGTTTGATTCGGTTTATTCTTGAGCGGTTTTAATTCGGTTCAGGTTGTAAACGGTTCGATACAGCCGGGTTGAGGTTTGTTAACGGTTCGGTGTAAACGATTTTTATACCGGTTTAAACAGTATCGGGTTGGAAACGGTTTTGAGTTAGAAGCGATTCGGTTCTTTTTCGGTTCAGTTTTATTTTTGTTTGGTTTGTTAACGGGTTTGCTTTTTATAAGATTTGACGTTATATTATTCAGATCAGTTCCATTTCACGTTTACTAAATTATGGTTCAGAAAGGTTTTTTATTTCAAAGAGTTAGTTTTTAATTGGGTACTTAGGATTCGAGTAGTTAAACGTTTGTGGTTTGAAATTTTCATAGTACTTTCTAACTAACCTTTTGTTAGTTAACAAGTTTTATATCAAGTCGAAACTTCATCACTTCATATTTAGGCATTAGGCATTATATTATATACAAATTCTCATCGATTTTTAAAATACGTATCATGTTATTTGCAAGTTTAGTCATACTGATGTTACTATTTTATTACGAAGTAACGTAGATTATAAAAGTTTAGTGTATTAATGAATTATCATTGTTTTACTACCATATAATTAGCTTCTTCTTATTCAATCATCTAATTGATGTGTCATAATCATGATTTGATTTGTTTTTGTGAGATCGAAATTACAGTTTGATTTATAGACGATTCGGTTTGTAAGTGGTTCGATTTATAAACGGTTCGGTGCAAACGGGTTGCAGTTTGTTAACGGTTCGGTGTAAACGGTTTTTACCTCAGTTAAAAGGGTTTCGGGTTGGAAACGGTTCGGTTCGGTTTGATTTCAGTTCGATTTAGAACTGGTTCAGTTTGTTAATGGGTTCAGTTCTTATACAGTTTTACATTATTCGGATCGGTTTGATTTCGATTTTAATAATATACGGTTTGGTCGGTTTTTGGTTTTACAAAATTGATTTTTAATCGGTTCGGTTCTCATTTGGGTCGGTTGGTTTCGGGCAGTTAAACGGTTTTGATTTGAAATTTGACAGCACGAATTGTCACCATTGAATCTTCAATCTCTCAATCACCTTTAAAATTCCACACTTTCTCTCTCTAAAATCTACTCCTAAAACTAACCTGTAACCTAGAGAGAGAAGCACTCAACTAAGATAAGAATATGATAAAAAACTAGAACAATTCTTCTTCTAAACTTTCCCCAAAAATCAGGTTACAATGATATTTATAGAGGGCGCGAAAAAAAAAACCGAGCAAGAAAATACCCAGGAAGGCACGCCTGCGCTGCAAGGGAGGCGCGCCCGCGCTACAGGAGTGCGCGCCTGCGCTGTAGGTGGCGCGCCCGCGCCCGCGTCTTTCTGGGTTTCTTCGATCTTCTCGCGACTTCTTGCGTTCGCTAAGGTCTTTCAATGAACACACAATCATGACGATGATGAACACTAAGTGAGGCAGTCCCAAAAGCACATGATTGTGTGTTCAACACCCAATATTCATGAGAGCATGGCTTGAGAGCGCAAGAGCTAGAACTTGGAGAATCCACTTCCTTGCATCTCGAGCTTTCCAATTGCCATGAGCTTGCTCCAAAAGCTTCCTTCACCTTAGTAAATAACCAATTAATATCAAGACCTGAACCTCGTACAATACCTACAACCATGAAAATAGAGCAAATAAAGGAGAAAAGACTAGAAAAACCATAGAAATGCACAAAAGCTACAAAATAAGAGAGGAAAGGTAAGACTAAGACCAAAAGAATAAAACTAAGCATTTATTAAGCATGAAAGCAATAAAAAAAGGTAAAAACAACCTAAATGCTCATCAAATAGGTGCCATTTAGGATAACCATCAAATACTCCCAATCTCATCTTTTGCTCTTCCTCGAGCAAAACAAAACCAAGGGAGAAATGATGAGCTTATTCAAACAAACAAAAAGAAGAGAAGAGACAAGAATATACACTAACTCACTTTCGTAGGAATCACGGTAAATTTTAGCAAATAAAGAAAAGCCATTTAAACCCCTAGATCGCCCTAGAGGACGAGTGATTCTCTCGTAAAGGTTTCCTAAGAGATTAACCTATAACTCTCGTAATAATACAAACAAGGCAAAGGATGAAAAAAGGAAGCAAAATACAAGAAAAGCAAACAAATGTTCATGAAAGTACTTTTCCAAATCTACAAGCATAAATGAATGCAAATCTTTCTAAACAAGTAAGGGATTGCACGTTCTAAGATATCTAAGGTTGATTGAAACATAGGATATGCTAAGCATAGAGAACTAAAGAAATGCAATCCACTTTCATCTCAAAACATTTTAGCACATTCTCCTAATTAGCTTCAAACCTACTTTTTAGTGAGCGTCTCTATAGTTTCTCGAAGGAACCGGAAAAACAAATACATTTGAGGTTTCTTGACATCTTCACTTTTCATCCCCTTTCCTTAGGCTTTAACTCATAATTCCCTCCCTCGAAATGTGACTCAACCTCTAGGTCAAAAGGTCTTTCCCAATGGTTGTAACGTAAAGGCAAAAGGTTGAGGGTAGGCTAAAATTTAAAAATTTGGCGGTAGCCCTAATAGTGAAGCAAAGAACAGGCCCTTTTTTAGAATCACAATCAAGTAGTCACCAAACAGAAGCAAACTAACACCCCCAAGCTTATTCAAAGCTATACTCACAAACATATATACTAAAAGGGTAAACGCTTCTCCCCCAAGCTTTCAAGGAGGCATTGTCCTCAACGCTTGAAAAGGGGAAAAGAATCACATCAAAATATTTTTGAATTTCCTCATTTTCACCTTTTTTTTAATGCATATAAGCAAAGCAATTGTCCTCGCCTCTTTTAACTTTGGACGGCTTTCACAACTTTGCATTTATTATGTCGTTGCCTTTTTTTAACTTTGGACGGCTTTTTCTATCACACATTTGCAATTATTCACAAAATATACACAAGACAAGCTTGCTTACAAAAGGAACCAATATCCATACTTATATACCACAAACTCCAAGAACATGACCATTTGATTCACAAAAACCAGAAAATGGAACAAAAAGAAACAAAAGGCTCAAAATTCTAAAGATGTTGCTTGAAAAGAAGGGAAAAGGCTCAAATGGTTAGCAAGAAGGCAAATGTAAACCCAATGAACTAAAAATAAAGATTATCCTAGGAAAATAAAAATTACAACCCTAAAAAAATGCCTTTTTCCTCCCTGGATGGTTCGGTCTCGTGTTTGAGAATGATGAGTCAAGATTAAAGATTAGGTCCTCAATAGTCCAGGATCCATGCCGCTAATGCAAGATATAGAACTTGGAAAAGCATATACAAAGATGCATAGCATACATGAATCAAAATCCCATCAAACATGATAGAATACCTTCTCCGAAGCTTGAATGAGACAATATACTCAAACATAAATCATAGAAACCATGGTAGGGGAAAACAAGAAGATCAATCTAACAAACCAACATATATCAAACGTCATCACCCACCTGAGAAAGAGCAAGGAAGGATATTACCGGATATGAGGTGGGTGTAAATACCCGCAAATTACCCAATTAAACCTTTCAAAGCAAATTTCCTCAAGAGTTGAACCTTGCCTTCCATATGCTAGCAAAATTAGAAGTCAAACTTCCTTGATTCTTGATCCAAATTGAAGCACCAAATTATATGAAGTCATGTACCTAGCAAAAGGCACACAAACATTTCCATGAGAGAAAATCTATTCTAAAAAGAAAAGAAAATGAAAGCAATTAAACACGGGTTACTTCCCGAGAAAGGCTTGCTTAAGGTCCAAGCTTGACCGCTCTAAAAAATAATAATTTATTCCACACAAGATCTTGTCAAATGCACTACTAATCATTTCATAAGATAAACAGTAGGCAAATGACGGGATAAGAATATGCAACAAGATTGTTGCACTCAAGTGAGAAGGTAGATGCCAAAAGAAAGAAGAAGAGGGTTCAAAAGGATAAACAAGAAAATAAGAAGAAGAAGGGGGAATAAAAGAAGGGAAAGAAAAAGAAAAAAGCAAATCCTCCTCACTAAAATATTTTTAGGAACATCACCCTTTTCCTCAACAATAGACGAATGAGGGACATTATGATCATTATAGATAAGGCGGTCCCCAATAGGCTCTTGAGATAGGAAGGGAAAAAAATAGGGCAAGAAGGGATGTTGTCAAACCTTTGAGAAAAAGGGGTATGAGAAATAGGCAAAGGGGTAGCTACTCCCTCAACACAAGATCTCACATCTCCAATGAGAGCATGAAAATCAATCTTAGAGTCCTTAAATGAAGATCTCTCACAATATATATCTCCCTCAAGCTCAAAAACTCCAAGGGAATCAACCTCATCCTCCTATGCACCACAATAAACAACCTTTCCTTCAACTATCTCAAATCCTAAGTCCTCAAAACCGTGCATGAGTGGAGGTAGAGTAATCGTAAAATCATCTAAATCCCAATAAGCTTTCTCGATGAACTCATCCAAGAATCTATAAATCTTCATATGAATCTCACAAAACAAATGGGACATTACCTCAAAAGAGTCTATGTATTCATAGATTGAAGGCTCACAAACATAAACTTGAGGCTCATCAAGATGGGAAAGAGGGTTAGGATTTTCAAATTCAATGCTCTCTTCATTCTTAACTCCTTCACCATCACTCATATGCTCACCAATTGGATCCTCACACTCTCTTGGTTGCTCAAAATTATCATCATCACCCTCAACACACACATTGGATAGAGATTTTTCACGAACAAGCATTAAAGATGACAATTGGCTTTCTAGCTCTTTACCTCTCTTTCTTCCCTCCTCAAGATGCTCCACAATTTTTTTCATCACCTCCAATTGACTTCTTAAAGAATTTAGAATTGACTCCTTTTTAGGCCCAAGATCATCACTAAGTTCAATATGCCTAATTTGAGTTTCTAAAGTAGCAATAAGAGATTCAAAAGGTGTAAAAGATTAAGGCTCAACAAGAGAAGAAGAAGTAGAACCAAGATTTGAAGAATCAACATTGAAATCATGAGCATATACATCACATTGGGGAGTGCGGGCACAATCAAACATATGAGATTTGTCAACTTGAGCATGCACCTCATTATCATGAACAAAAGAGGAAATAGAATTCGAAGCATTTGTTCTAGGTTCACTAATGGGATCATGTGATACATCATGGGAAATCATGCTAGCATTAGGAGAATTAACACATTGCACATCAAAATTAGAAACATGATTACCCCTATTATGAACATCCCAAGGGAACTAAACATAAAAATCCCAAGCATCATCAATTGACAATTCTCTAATTCTACCATTATGCATGCATTCAACATTATTCCTAGTTTGTTCATTTAAACCAAATAAGGAATCTCACAAGCCTTCCAAAGACTACAACAATGATAGTCAAGAAAATCCCTCAAGTCTATGGAAATATTCACAAAAAGGCTTATTGTTATATTGAGGAAATGATAGACATGCCATTTTTTACAAAGTAAACAAAAATCAAACAAAAGAAAAATCAATACAAAGACCTTGACTAAAGCAATAAAAAACACTCGAACATAGACATCGTTCCCCGGTAATGACGCCATTTTGACGAGGGGAAAAACTAGGTCGTTGAAATTAATCCTCCCTCGATCAAACTAAATTTATAAACACTTAACAAACCTATATAATAGTGTAGAGGCAAGTTAAGGATCGAACCCAAAGAAACGGTAATGTTCAAGCGCTCTCAATTATGTGCCTAAGCTAGGTAAAAGACAAAGATAAAGAGAGAACACTAACAACTAACAAACAAAGAAATCCAACAAATAAAGCACTAGGAACGGGTTCTACAAGCAATCATGACAATTGTAGCAACTCGAAAATACATGCAAGTCAATGGTTGTGAAGACTAATGGAAAGATCAATCAAAAGAGTTAACAAGCTATCTCCTAGAGGTCAACTAGTGCCAACTACGAGAGACTCTAATTAGGAGCATCACTAATCAAGCTCAATCAAAAATTGCAATTCCTAAATCAATGGCCCGTATCATTAAAAACTACGATGCAATCTAGCATAATTCTCAAGGCCTAATCGAATTACACACATGCAAACTTCAATTAATCACTTTAATTTCAACAATTAATCAACGCAGTCCCCAAATTAAGAACAATCAATCTATCATACAAGTTTCACCCAATTCCCAGCAAACAACTACTCAAACATCATCATCTAATCAACTAACAACTAAAGAAATAAAGAATCAACAATACATGAAAACCAACTACACTAATCAACAATCAAACATCAAAATCAAACCAACAAATATGAAATTAAACAAAGCAATAAAATGAGATAAAGGTAAAAATGCTCATTGACAATAGAGAAGATCTTCAACGCAATTGTCACCATTGAATCTTCAATCTCTCAATCACCATGAAAATTCCACACTTTCTCTCTCTAAAATCTACTCCTAAAACTAACCCTAAACCTAGAGATAGAAGCTCTCAACTAAGCTAAGAATATGATAAAAAAACTAGAATACTACTTCTTCTAAACTTACCTAAAAAAACGGGTTACAATGATATTTATGGAGGGTGCGAAAACAAAAACAGAGCAAGCAAATACCCCGGAAGGCGTGCCCATGCTAAAGGGGAGGTGAGCCCGTGGTGCAGGGGTGGCGCGCCTGCGCCCGTTCTTTGCGCGCTCGTGTAATTTTGGGTTTCTTAGATCTTCTCACGGCTTCGTGCGTTCTCTAAGGTCTACGAATGAACGCACAATCATGATGAGATGAACACTAAATGAGGAAGTCCCAAAAGCACATGATTGTTGGTTCAGCAACCCATATTCATGAGAGCACAAGAGCTAGAACTTGGAGAATCCATTTCCTTGCATCTTGAGCTTTCCAATTGCCATGAGCTTGCTTCAAAAGCTTCCTCCACCTTAGTAAATCACCAATATCAAGACCCGAAGCTCGTAGAATACCTACAACAACGAAAATAGAGCAAATAAAGGAGAAAAGACTAGAAAAACCATATAAATGCACAAAAGCTACAAAATAAGAGATGAAAGGTAACACTAAGACCAAAAGCATAAAACTAATCATTTATTAAGCATGAAAGGCATGAAAAGAAGGTAAAAAAAAACCTAAATTCTCATCAAATGGGTGCCATTTATGACAACCATCACAAACCGCCGCCATCTCCATTGTTTCTCCTTCCACATACAACACCATGGTAATCTCTTTTGATTTTTCAATTTAAATTCATTAATTTTTTTTTCTTTACTCTCAAATTAGTTAAATTTTGTGGGGGATTTTCTGGGTTTGTGAGGGTGGTGTTTCTGACTTTCTGGGTTTGTGAGGGTTTATGGGGGATTTTGTGGGATTTGTGGGTTTCTGACTCTCTGGGTTTCTAGCTTCATGGGTATGAATTTGGTCATGAAATATGGGTGTGATTTTGTGGGATTTTATACTGTTTTTATTAATTTTAGTCTGAATTTTTGTATTATTTTGTAATCATAAATTATTTCTGCGTTTTTTTCTTCTTTATAAATTTTTATTCTTGATTTTCTTGTCTTATTATTCTCTTTTGAGATGTAGATCGATTTGTTGTTTTTTGATTTTGTGCTACTGATTTTGTTTTCATTTTTCTATGGAAGTTCAATACTCTACTAAATTACTCTAGTAAATTATTGATTTGATTTTGAAAACAAGGATTTACCTATTAACAAAAATGATAGGAATGAAAAAGAAGTCTGGAATATTCATGTCAGGTCCCGATTAATTGAAACTCCTAATGTTAACAAAATCCTTGTTTCTGAGGTCTACTCTTACTCTCCTTTTAATTGCATTGCTTTTCCTCTTTTTTTCTTTTTCTCAATTTTCTATATGATTTCTAACTTAGGCATTGATGTTAAAATTGGTTTAAGATAAAAAAATATATTTAATATATATATACATGCATCACAAATTAAATTTGATTAATGAATAAGTATAGTAGAAAATTGAAAAAGTGTAGAAACTGTTGCTCGGTTTTAGTCAGTTTGGATTATCATGAGGAAAGCTAAACGTCCCCCTAGAATATCTAACTAATGCCCGCAAAATAAACTAAAATTACAAATTTACCCTTTTTTGATAAAAAAATTACCCCTCAATTACCCCCCTCTTCATACTACCCACCACTACTACATCTTCATACTAACCACTTTATCACTACCACCACCACCACCACTACCACCACCACCTCCTCCTCCTCTTTTAACCACCAACTCCTTACCTCCGATTTCACGATCTGCACAGCCGCGATAATGACGAGTAATTAGGACAAAGGGAAGTCAGTCACCGGCGGAGAAAATGTTTGTTTTTTTTATTATTTTCTTAATTCGCGGCAAACGCCTAGATTTTACGCACGTCCTAGGCTCTAACGCCTAGTTCGTGCCAACAACCGTTGATGAGTGTCATTTATGGAACTCATAGGGTAATCTTTTAGGATGATTTCATCCCTTTTTCATGCTTTCTTCTCTTATTTTTGGTCGTTATTCCTTTAGTTCCTCTTTTTCCTTCTTTCTTTGTGTTTTTCATGTTTTCTTCGTGTTTTCCTTTTATTTGGCTCTTTTTCCCTTTTATTCCTTTCCTTTGTTTGCTTTTGTAGGTACCTAGGAGTTGTCTTTGCAAAGGAATCAAGATGAGCCATATTGAATAAGCAAGGAGGAAGCAATCTACTTATAGAGGGCTTGGAGAGGGCTTGGAAAGGCCTTGGAGAACGAGGGCGTCAGCTTTTGCCAAGATGCTGCGGGCGCGGGTCCTGAAGGCTGCGGGCGCGGGTTGTGTGGCACCAAAACAATATAATTCGACCAGGAACTCCCCGCGGTTACCCCGAGGGCTCCCCGCGGGTGTGGGTTAATTGGAGAGAAAGCTCCAAATTAGAGAGATCGCGGGCCTCTGATTACTCTTTGGGAGCAGGGCATTTGCCGCGGGCACGGGTGTTGCCTAGACAGCCCGCGGAGTTTGTTATGGGTTCCGTACCAATTTCTCCGCGGGCTCGGGATTTCTTATAGAGGGCGCTGGGAAACCGTTTTCCTTCTTTGCTTATAGATACACTTGTAATTACTTTTTAAAAACTAACTTTTAGATAATTTTCATTAGCTTAGTTTTAGAGAGAGAATTTAGAGAGAAGTTAGAGAGAAGTTCTTGGATTTGGATTTGTATTACAACATTGGTTCAATGAAGTTCTGATTTCTTCATCTCCAAACATTAATATTAGTGAGAATCTCTTCTGTTGGTTCATCTCTTTACTTGTTTGTCTTAGATTCATGTTTGATTGTTTGATTTCCTTGGATTTGAATTTGATATTGTAGTTAATATTGTAGATAATGCAATTTCTAGTGATTTGTTATTGAGTTATACCATAATTAGTGAGTAGATTAGTTGCTAGGGAGAAGGGGAAGCATGCTTGATTGATAATTTGTGCTTAATTTGGGAATTGTGTTGATTAATTCTTGAGATTAAAGTTATTAATGAAGGTTTGCATGCATGTGTGTAATTCGATTAGGCCTTGAGAATTATGCTAGATTGTATTGGAATTGCTAATGACACGACCAATTGATTTAGGAATTGCAATTATCGATTGGTTTTGATTGTGATTCTCTTATTTTGTTATTTATAGTGACCCCTAGCTTAA